ACATTTTCTCTAAGGCTAGGTTTCTAAAGTCATAGAAATTTAATAACTTTCCTATTTAAATATGAAAAAGGTATGGACTAATTTCGTTCCTAGAATCTTTAAACGTTTCTCCTGAAAAAAATATCATTTTACAGATATTCTCCTATTACATCAAGATTGAGAAAAAGATTTGAATGATTCTTTTTTGTTGGAAAGAGGGCACCTCTGTAGTCCCATTTAAATTGGAAGAAAATATTCCACCTCTAAGGGTGGCAAACTAGGGGATGAATCCGTTTTCACGCACTTTCCGGTAACCGATTTCAATAAAACTTGGCAAATAGATGTAATTCCACCAACTTTTGAGCTCCTTGAGCTTTGAGCTTGAGCTTTTTGAGTCGACATTATTGCACGATTATCTGATTACCTGAGGGTCCAGTATAACAACGCATTAAGGGTTCTGTTCTGGCTGCAGTGGCGTTGTAGTTCTTCGGGGACAGAAGACGCTGCGTCTCCATGCTAGCCCGCCTCTGCGGTAGCACCATCGAACTCCTGAGGGTGTTTATAGGCCGGTGGCACTCCTCAAAATTTCAGCATTGGACGCAGCTTCACATAATTTACAAGCCTACTAAGACTAGTCCTAACAGACAAGATTTCAAAATAAATGCTTTATTATTACCTGTGCATCGTGAACAAACAAATTAATTGAAACTTGGGTAACAAATATTTTTAAACATCATTTAAGTAATGAGTTTGTCCGTAGAGCTTTCCAGTTTAGTTCCACATTTACCGTTCCTCCTTTGGTCGACTAGACTGGAACACTCCACCCTTATGTTGTAGATATACCACCGATTTGTAAAACGTGTATTGCTTCTTCCTTCCTAATACGTACGGCAAAAACTTTAAAACACTACCAGCACTTGTTTTTCCCGAAGTGGACAATTTAGGGCTATTCAAGGATAACCTTGATAACCGCTCACGCGATGCGCTCATCCTACCGCAAAATGGCGGCTATTTGGTTTCGCAAATTAGGAAAGGATTCAGTTTAAATACAAGTTTTTATAAACAAAAATTATTATTCTGCATTGCTAAATAAATACCCTCCGTACTACCAACAAAAACATCTCAAATAAAATGCAGTAATACACCGCAAATCGTGCACTTAAAAAGCACTAATTAAATTTTTGGTGTACTTGGATAAATATGATAATATTCTGTTTGAGTGGTTCTAACGTTTACCATGAAATTACTCCTTAAAGTATAGTTTATAAACATTTATATTCAGGGTAATCTTAAAAAACGCTACTTACGGTATGTTTTCAATAAATAAACACCGAAATCACCAGCCCAAACAATAACACACACGATTGTCGTGACGTATTTTTGAAGTTGTTTATTTTTTTTAAACGACAGACCCAGGCATTAAAAACTTTATGGTTTGCTAGAGTAGTTACCGAAATAGCAATTAGTAATAGTTCTTTTACCTGTTATAACAAAAAAATTCGTGTTCCGATAAATCAGTATAAGTATAAGTACAAGTATAAAATCATCACCGGCACCTCTAGGTGTGGTACGCGTCTACGGCTGCATGTATCGCGTGAGCGGTTAACCTATTCACTATAAGTGAATAGGCATTTTGTGGACAAACGCGTAGCACCGTCAGTCACATAATTATAGCCAAACGTGTGCCAAGAGTTCCAAATCAGCGTAGTGGTATGGTTTGCATACGCCCTTTATAGAGTGATATTAAAATAGAGTCCCGAATAAGGAGCAACTTGTACTTAATTTGTGAATTTTGTTAGGACTAATGGAGCAGACTTTTTAAAGGATTTTTGTAATTTCATGCAAATTTTACGCGTTCTATTTACTTAGTTGACAAATTAATTAATGAAACACAAAGTACTTGTCGAGTTCTTAGGTTTTCGAGTTTGTTACACATAAGAAATGAAACTGTTTTTCCGGATTTAAATCGCGTATATTTGTTTTTTCAAACAAACCGACGTTTCGGGCCCTTTACAGGTCCCATGGTCACGGTTGACGTTACATGTGGCACCCTTGATTTAATAAAGTCACTTCTGCTAAATGACAACTTCTCAGAGGTTTAAAGTTTCTATAGAAAATAGTCTATGACTTTTATGCATATAAATTAGAGATATAAAATTTCACATAACATATACATAATTTAATGATTAATATAAAGTTCGAACACTCGGAAAAAATTCCTTCGATCCGGTCGGATTTGAACCGACGCCGTGGCAGACGCTATACCAACTAAGCCACGGAACGAACCAGCGGACCTCAAGATTTTTTTTATGTGCTTGTTGTCATGTTTTTGTATTTGGTTTTTCAACGACTTTTTAGCCGTAGCGCCATCTATGAGAAATCTATGTATTTCGTCACCCAGTTAGATACCTTTAATAAAATAGAAAAATTCGTGAGGTCCGCTGGTTCGTTCCGTGGCTTGGTTGGTATAGCGTCTGTCACGGTATGCTAGCAGACCACGGTTCGAATCCGGCCGGATCGAAGGAATTTTTTCTAAATGTGCGGTTATTGTATTAATAATTATAACAAACTAGTGGCGTAACGTTCACATAAAAATTAATTGAATATCAATTTAAAATATACATAATTTGTTTCATGTAGTATTATTTTTGTTATTTTTATATGACAAAACCACGTTTGACGTGTGATGCATGTGGTTATAATAACGGTACAAATTATACAGATCGTGACGAAGGCCGAACCATGAATTACGATCTCTGACCTAAGATAATTGAGGACAAAGTTACGAGGTTTAAAACTATAATGGAACAAAAACTTTATAAATAAAGGTTTATTGTACAGCTTCTGTGTACTCCGTAGTAACCCGTTTAGCTCTTACAGGTAGTCTCAATGTAAGATGTTTCAAATAAATATTGTAAATGTTAAATGTATTCAAATGTATATTTAAACAAGCAACTCCTAGAGATTCTTGCTCATTCTTCTCAGGGGACTCTGCCTTACGAATGACCAGTAGAGTTTAAATATGACAATTTCAAGTGTAATTTGCTCACCTGTGAAATAAAGATGATTTCAATTAGAATTTGAAAAGTCCAGTATGGAAAATATGCTATGAAAAAAAGGCTGCTCCGCTTCAGTAGGGGTTCGATATACCGCCGTGTGTTTGATATTATCACTTCCTCATACCATAAAGTCACCTTTTTATAAACTCGATAATTACCAAGTAGAAAACATTGACCGTACACATGGATCCACCCCCGCTACTGCATCACGCGTGCCGCGCGCCGGGTGGCCACCCCTCGCTTATTAACTCCACGGATGGACATAAATATAATCATTTGTGACTTTTTAGTGTTAGTTAGTCATCTTTATTTTAATTTTACGTTTTCATGTTTTTTGTTGTCAATGCGCATCTCCATTTTGGTAATTTTCGAGATATTGGCATCAAAATTTTTTTGCTTTACCTATTTCTGCCGCCAAGCTGTAATGTGAACATTGCTGCGTTCCGGTCTTGAAGGGTAGGGATGCTTATGAAATTATAGGCACACGGTACTTGTCAACTTATACCTCAGGGTGGCTGGCGCGGCAGTGCCCCTCCAAGGTTTGCGGTTTAAAGATCTGAGTGGCACTACAACAAAAAAAAAATTGTTTCGATCTTATGATTAACTATTTCAATTAAATTTCAGTACCTTAATGAATTACTTGGAGTATTTGTAGTATATATTGAGTGATGTGACCTTAAATGGGCAGGAACTGTGCCTTAATAAATATTCTTTTTACTTTTTAAATATATTCATGTATCACCTGTTGGTTTTCCAAATAAATAGTTAAAAAAAAAACATACAAAAATCCGCAATCGAATTGGGCTTTCTTGGTGAACCCTCTCGTTAACGGTGACCTGTGCACTGCAGTGGAACGTATAAGAAATCTGTCGATGATGTTGACAAGTTGACTTTTGGACGAGTTGCATAATGATCAAGATCACAGTGGAATAGACCAATTGAATAGCTACTAATTTCCTATATTGACAATAATAGCATGTTTAAAAATAACTAGCCAGGATTACGTTGTTCTAAAATAATACCAATAGATCATCATTAGATGTTCGTTTGACCACAGCACGAAGTCAAATCGGTAATGCGTGCGCGCCACCCTTATAATCACCCCTCGTTATTAACTAAATGGACGCAACCCTTCTCGTTCATAAAAATACTTTTGTATTTGATTTTTAGGTGTGTTAATTAAGCATATGTGTGTGTGTTTTTAACTTTTTTTATGATACCAAGTCACAGGACGAACAAGTCGTGAGCGTCATGCCAGTTCATAGCAAGTGCCGCTCAGAGCTTTAAATCGTAAAGATCTGAGCGACACTGCCACCCTGTCACCCTGAAACATAAGTTGACAAGGCCCATGTGCCTGTCATTTCACCAGCATCCCTTCATCACCCTTCAAAACCGAAACACAGTAATGTTCACATTACTGCTTGGCGGTAGAAGTAGCTAAGGTCTTTCACAATTGGCTCTACTGCTACTAAAATTGCCTTTGTGGCCGAACGGTTACCATGCTGTACATGCCACGCAGAAATCACGGGTTCGATATAATTATATCTCTCGTGAGTTTGGGTGCAATTTGTCGTCTAATGTTACTCTAGTACGGGACTATAACACGAATGACATAAATGGCCTGAGAACACTTCTAAACGTTTATTATCGCCTGAAACAAGGAAACTACCATTTAAAATGTAATTTTTTGCACGAGGATAACCCCTTTGTTTACATTTTGGATTATGATTCAAACTATCATTTAATTCGTAGCTTTTAACGTCTGATGAAAGTTATCAAAATTGCCATTTTACAGAAGTGACCTTATTACAACAAGTGTGCGAAATATAGTTTTTTGTTTCTGTATTTTTCTCTCATATCTTACGGTGGTAACATCCTAAAGGTGCTTTGAAAATTTGTTATTCAAAAAACAAAGTTTGTATATTGTAAAATATTCAATGAAACACGTATTGCAGCTTTCAGTTCGCCTTGTTGAATTCTCCAGTGACCAGGAAGCTGGCTGCTACTTCTATCAAAGAATAAGCCTAGCCATTCAAAGTGGAACCGTTACCACCAAGGCAGGAAATCCCAAGGCGCGCTCTAAACAGTGGAAATATTTTCCTTTTTTTTATAATACCAAGTGACGGGACGAACAAGTCGTGCGTCTGTTCGACACGCCTATCCGTAACAGTTGCAGAGCGTTAAATCGCAAATATTTTATTGCCACTGCGCTCGTCACCCTGAGACCTAAGTTAACAAGTCCCATGTGCCTGTAATTTCACCAAAAGTTAGTTTAATTGCAGAGTTTTTTAATTTTACATGTATTTGGCGAAGTTGGAATTGAAAATGGTTGAAATCCAGAGGAATAAAGGATCAAGTTGTATAAGGATTTGCAGATGGCTCCATCTATTCTCCTGTCGTAACTCTGTTACTTGCGTTTGTAAACATTAAAGGTGTAAGAGATGCACATTAATGTCTTAATTTAACTTTACTGTTGTTCTTTTATTCTTTATCTCTATATCCAAATCCGTGACTTTACAAATCTAGAAAATTCAGACCCACTTCGGATGTCGCTTGCGCACTAATTTCCAATATCAAAATTGCTACAAAAATCGACTTGCTACGATTTCGACTGTAGCCATTTTGCTATTGAAATGGCTACAGTCGATATCGTAGCAAATTTTTTTTTTGCAAATGCTGTGTGCATACACACACACATACGTTTTAATATTATATTATAATATTCAAATTAAATTTATAATTAGAAGTTAAGAAAGTTGAAAATTGATAAAAAAAAAATTGTTTGTTTTGACGATGTTTGGAAATGCAAAAATTAAACACTAAATTAAGTATAAGTTAAAAATGTTAAATATGCATTTATAGCTATGGAAGAGCGGTGCCTCCTGACACAGGCTTGATTAGCTTAATAGGAGGCTTAATACCATCTACTGTTAATGTAAAGTTTGATCCGTCTGGATTCGAACCAGCGTCTTCAGCATGCCGTGGCAGACGCTCTCCCTACTGAGTTACGGAACAAACCAGCAGGCGTTACGAATTTTTCTGTGTGCTTGGTGCAGATTTTTGTTTTGTTTTTTAAGGACATTTTTGCCATCAGTGAGAAATCTACGAAAGATTTCCTTGAAAAAATAATTGAATATCGTGGCAGCAAAACTTTCTGATATTCAATTAACTTTATAAATTTACAACCTAATAAAGATCAGCAATAGAGTTTCACAATAGGTACTATAATACAAAAACTGGCATCTACACGAGATCTTATCAATTATTATTAACCTAAAACAAAAACTATCCCACCCCGTATCAATCCTGGACATTAAAATGTATAAGAGAATGATGCATGCCGAGGAGGCAGAGATGGGAAAGCCTCCGGGTTGCCCACGATTTTGGGCAGAAATGGGTTAAAACCGCTTTGGGTTTGGTTAAAAGCCCGGTCTAAACCCGGGTAGGTTAATTGGGCTTTAACCCGCTGCCGATCTTTGGGAAACGGCAAAAGGGGTATGACAGGAGCGTAGCAAATAGAGATAGGCAAGCTGGTATGTATGTAGCATTGTATTATATTACGACAACATTATCAACAAAATATAAAGCTACAAAGTAACATCAAGTCATAAACAGACCGCGAAAATTATTATTCATTATCCGTCATTTTATTTTCGTCGTGGTCGAGTAATAAATATAGAAAACGGCAGGCGACAGTCCATAGTACATTGGCACCCTCAGCGAGGATCGGGAGAACTCGAAGAGGGTTGTGAAAGCATATTTATGTTAGTTTCCTATTGACGTTCATGCTTTGCCTCTCTCTTGCGGCGCGGACTTGCTGAGACGAATTTGTTTTAATTTTGAGAAATTTCGTCATTACAGAATTCGAAATAATTCATTTTGAAAAATTGTTATAACACAGTTTTGAAATTAAAACAATGGGAATATTTAAAAATCCTTCTTCAAAAGTATGGATATATTAAGCACGCTTTACGCTTCTTAATTTTGGCGTTAATGGCTGTATTTATTTTATTGCTTGCAATAAACTGTCTTTATGGAATAAATTCAGTTTTAAGCCCAACGGCTGAGCACAGGCGTTCTGTAAAGCAAGGCTCATGCAGGTTGGTGACTTCACATGTTTTTCTAGGTTTGACAACCAATCCACATGCAGGTCTCATCATTATTTTTTCGCATATCGTTGACGAGAGTTATTACTACTGAACATTTACAGTTATACGTAATTAAAATCATTTCGAATGTGCGAAACTTTCGAAACGTTGACCTATGAATTAAAGGTCAACAATTTTCCCATTAGGTTACTACCATTGAATACAGTTAATTAACAACACTGAGCTCACCATGGAAGTTAGCAATCACAGTGCAAAGTAACAAACAGGTGGCGTTCATTGTTCTAACTTCACCCACAATCACTTGTAAAGCAATCTTCCTAAATGGTAATGAAACTATTTCTCGTGACCATGGGAACTGTAAAAAGCCCAAAACGTTGTGTTTATTTGAAAAACAGATATGAATGTGATTAGATAGTTTCATTATCAATATATAGCAACTCAATAAGCTTCTACTGTTACGTTGAAAATGGAGCATGCTTGTCTAGAAAATGCCTACTTACTCTCTCTAAAAATGTCTCTGTCAATTCGTCGTATAAAGGCGGGACTCAACGCACTTAAAGCTCAGCGCACGCATGTTTCTTGTGGAGACATTATATTCAATTGAAGTACCGTGTGTGGGACGATTCTGGCTTTGTATGAATAACGTGTATGAGACGTACTTTTTGAAGGTAGGGCAACTGTAACCCTTTAACTTACGATTGTGATAGAGAAAGTTATTTAATGTCATTCGATTCAGATATTCCTAAGAATTTGTCTAAAGAAGTACTATACTACAATACTAGTATTGTAAAAAACTCGAGTCCGGGGGTCTACATTTTAAGAGTCGACTCCAATTCACAAGACTTGACTCATAAAGACGGTTTACGATAGGATAGGTTTACGACTTGAGTCCTGTTTAGACTCAGGTCCGTGCTCCGATAACTTGCGCTCGACCCGACTCGGACTCGTGAGTGCTTTAGGCCACCGCACCGTGCAAAATGAGTTGAGTTTTTAATTGTAGACTCGAGTTTTTTACAACACTACCCATTACTGTGTTCCAATTTTGAAGGGTGCTGGTGTAACTACAGGCACAGGATTTGTGATCTTTGGGTGACGGGTGCAATGGCAGTGCCCCTCAGATCCTTACGATTACTGGTACTGCGACTGTTATGGGTAGGCATGTCACTTACCACCAGGCGCATGATTTGTTTATCCGACCGTAGCATGATATCATAAAAAAATTATGGAGTAAATAATAAATTAGATTCTCATATTACAAATACAGGGTTATTTTTAAAATACGGCACGGTACGAAACGAAGACCTCCATCGAGACTTGGAAATGGAATTCGTTGACAAGATATCTCAGAAGTACGCCGAAGCCCGAAGCCCCGAAGATCACGTGTACGTCGAGGCCATTCAGCTCCTTATTCGTCGTCTTGTATTTGAGATTGTAATGCATTTATAATGTACTTTACTAGTGCTTATAAATATAACGAAAAAAGAAATTAAAATGCTGTCAACCTTGCAGGACTAGATTACAACATCATAAATAAAAACTTTTGACAAAATATTTAAGTTTTTTTGTACTATCTGACACTTTTTAGATATCTACTATATTGGTAGCATAGGTAAGTTTAAACGTGCAAGCGTCCTTCGCCGCGACGACTCCCACCCCTGTCTTGCACATAGTTATTACCGCTTAGAACGATCTATTTAAATGTATTTATTTTTGTATGAAAATAAAATCTTATAAATTATTATAAGTCAAGGAACAAATACTGTTGTTTATAATGTTAGTAATATTGATAGTATTTTACAAAAAAATCTGTTCATGCTTTCTGAGGCATTGAAGCAAAAAAGGATTAAAAACTTTCACCTATTCAAAGGTATAAACAAATTTCATTTATCCCTACAAAACTTAACTCTTTGTTGTAAACTTTTTAATAAAGGTAAAATGTCTCGCGGCTACTCCGCCCCAGAAGGGTTAAACGTAACTACGCAATTAACTAATTGCCATATGATCCTAACTGTAGGTTACTTTAAACAAAAGAATACACGCAATTTATAAACGCTTTATAAGAAGACTGTATGAGGAATCCGTGCGTGTGAATTGACGGCGCTAATTCTGATTGGTTTGGCATCTCTAGTGTCAGACAGGGCGTAGCGTGTTTATGGACAACTGAAGGAGCTGCGTGAGACTGATTATGGAGTGCAAATGGGTAAGTCCAGCAACGTATGCCTCGTGTACGCCGATGACCAAGTGATACTTGCGGTGTATGGCAGAAGAAGCATCAAAAGTAGAATTAATGCAGTGGAGATCCTTGAGGAAACTTTGTAGAATAAAGTTGAGAAGTAGAGTCAAGGATACAATAATACGTGAAAGATGTGGCTTAAAAGAGGATGTAGTGACTAGAATAGAGTAAGAAGAATATAAATGGAAGGATTTTAAGAGGACGTCGCATAAGGACTTACTTTGACCAGATCAGTAATGTCCTCAAAAAGGCTGGAATCCGTAGAGACAAGAATAAAAGAAGTTGTATACGAAGGGTAGTTGCTCGAGATTTGTGGCAGAATAAAGTGGCGTTCCGTGGTCTCTGTCTACCTCTCCTGGAGGACTAGAGGGTGAGCTTATGTATTTATGTTTATAAGAAGACTGCTTATTAGTTAAGCAGAATAATATGTCGCACACGACATCAAATGCTGTCTTAACTCAAAATGTGGAATTGAGATAACCCGATTTGAAAATTAAAAACAAAACGAAGGAAACCAACATATATTAGCAGTATAGCTTCTTGTGAAAGAGTTCGTCCAGGGAAGTACTGCCACCTTACCTATTTCTGCCACCAAGCAGTAATGTAAGCATTACTGCATTCCGGTTTTGAAGGGTACGGGTGCTGGTGAAATTACAGGCACATGGAACTTGTCAACTTGT